AGCAACTGTGCTTACCTGCACAAGACCTTCATAAGATCAAGCCAGCCAAAATTCCAGTATTGCTCTGCAGCTCTACCCTTGGCAGAGGAACTGTTGGCAGTTGGTAGCTACTGAAGAGGAGAGTCATTCTCCATCAGGAAAGAAGCTGCCGGTAGGTTGACCATGCCGCTTTGTGCATATGGAATAAGCAGCAATAAGTGGACTCAGGGGACTATTAATAGCAAAGGACATGAAGTTGGGAGGGAGACTGGTGGGCACTATGGAAAATTGAAGGAAGTAATGGTAGATGTCTAGGGTTAAAATACATTGTACAAATGTATGGATTTTTCCAAAGAATAATTTTTTTTTCTAAAGCGAATTGTACTAATACAGTTGCATAGTATCTGGTACCTGGCTGGCTATTTATTCATTAAGTAGCTTTGTGTCAGGGAGATGGAAGACAGAGGTGGAGTGGGGAATGTCGAAATTGACAATAGGAAGGCAGATGGTCTGTCTATGAGCTACAGTGACCTGCTCCTGGAGGCTTCTAGAAACTCCCAAGGTGGTGTGTGTGTGGGGGGGCTTGTACAAGTAAAACTCAGGCTTTTACTGACATGAGCTCCTATGCCCCAAATGTGCTAGGCACCTCTGAGGATATCATGCCAGCACAATGAGTCAGCTTCTTAAATGGTTTTTGGTCACAGCTCAGGAGATCACTGATGACTTGACCACATTGTATCCGGGGTCTGTGGCTGCAGGGTGAAGGATATGGGCCAGCAGGCATTCCTTTACACTTTCTGCTCTAGGTTCCTGCCCTGACTTCCAACAGTAATGGACTGATACTTGAAAGTATACGATAAAATAAAATCTTCCCTCACCAACTTACTTTTGGTCGTGGTGTTTACCACAGCAACAGAAAGCAAACTGAGAAATATGTCATCTAGGATCCTTCCAACTGACAGTCTTGTCATTCTGTGGTCCCTAAACGTCCCAGGCATGTGTCCTGACAGCTTCATTTCAGTCAGAGCCCCTGTGCCTGGGTCCCACAGAATGCAAACTGCTGAGAACACACTGCAGAGTCATTGCTGGAAGCCTTTACTTCACTGTAGGGATTGCTTATAGCTTCTGATTAACAGTTTCAGGGCAGAGGACAATTCAGCCCTCCAACTCCCGGTGTTTTTGTTGTGAGGATTTGGGTTAGTGGTGGGAAATGGAGGGTTGAGAGCAGAGTATTCAAAACTAGGACTGGACCCCGGGGAGCTATAAGCTCCAAGGGATGCTCTGTTCTTGCTTTGCAGAGTGGGAATTCACACAGACCGGCTTCCGGCTGAACCCTGGGCAGCCTCACTTTCCTGGCTGCCTGGCTTCTGTGCTCCCTGGGAGTCAGGCTTACACCCTTGGAGGCCCCTGCTACCTTGGGAGATCTGAACCTCCCCTGAGGCTGTTCTGTGTCAGGCTCTTAGTGTGGACAGAAGCTCCTTATGAACCATGCCTATCTGGCTTCTGGAGAACTCAGGGAGGCCCAGAGCCTGGTAGTCAGACCTGAAAGTAAAAGAATGTTGAATCTCATGTGGACCTTGAACCTCTGTGTAAGGGTCTAAGCTGCCACAGGGCTGAGCTAACCAGACAGAACAGACGCGGCAACAGCTATGCTTGTTTGGAGTAACAGACAGGGAGCAACAGGGATGAAAAATCTAACAGACTTGGCTTCCAGGTCTCTGGATGAAGATGTGGAGGAGTTGGTATTCAAAGCCAATTCTGTCTGACCACAGAGGTCATAGTTTTAAACTGAGGAACCTGGGCCTCCTGGATCCTAGGTGGCTTGAGTCTCTCACCCATCCTCCAGGATCTGGTACTGCCTCAGCCACTGGAACTTTCAGACATCTTCAGGATAGCCTCAGATTCCTACAAGCCCAGAGACAGAACCAAGGCCCATGAAAAGCCTCAGAGATCATTGCCTCATTATTCTGGCTCCAGGTTGCAGGAGGGCTAGCTTGTGGGGAACTGGCATTTAACTCCTACTGGCTAATCAGGATTCTTACCCTTGATTCTCCAGCCAACTCATGGATTCCTTCCATGCTGTGTCACTAAGAAGCTCACCTTCACCTAGACCCTAGACCCTGGCCTTCATGTAGCTGGACCTACAAGCAACTGACAGCCACAAGGGTTAGAAGAGGAGTGGCTTTTCTTGTCTTGTGAGAATATGGTTTCAAAGCACTTTTTAAAAAAAGATTTGTGTGTGTGTGTGTGTGTGTGTGTGTGTGTGTGTACAGAAGAGAACATCAGACCCCCAGGAGCAGGATTCCCTGCAGGCAGTTATGGGTGGGTGCTGGGAATTGAACTCGGGTCCTCTAAAAAAGCAGCACCCTCTCTTAAACACTGAGAGCTACAGATGTAGGAAGCATGGAACTCAGGCTTTACAAGGGATGAAGTTGTATCTTTGCTGATCTTGTATTATACTTGCATTAGTGTGCTTTTATTTGTAGGAGGCTCACAGACAAATACTAGGGGAATCTGGAATGGTAAATACACAAGGTTGCTCCTTCAAAGGAATAGACACATACATAACCTGTTATCCAAACAATAGGCTGGCAGAGGATGTGGTTAACGGCTGGTGACCTTTGTGCTATATGTGTGGCTGAGACCACACCAGAATCTCCCCTAGACCCTTATCATAAGCTTGTTTGTCTCAGTCTATAGAATTCATTTTTATGGGTGATGTTTTACAAAGAGTTTCTATGTAGTCATGTCTCATTTTTATTTAGCTTAATTTGTACTTTATTTTGCACACAAGATTGAGTTAATTATCACCAGGAAAGTTTTTATCAAATTGTTCTGTGTTTAAATATGCCTAAGACAAACTACTCAGAGTAAGACTTCTCAAGTTTGAGCCAATATCAGCTACTTGGTCATGTTGCACCAAACTGCCTTCTTGCCTCCCACATACTGTTAGTTACTCTGTTGGCTGTGGGGCCACAAAGACTCCCACACTTATTCTTGGGTTAACTGTTTGGGGAAACTGCCCAAGTTTTGGGATCCAGGTAAATGTAAGTTCAATATGTTACCATGGTTGGTGAAGTGGCGGGGTCAGAGATGACCACCATGAGAGGAGAACAGGAGTGACGGTTGAAGAAAGCCATCAGAGTACGGGGAGTAGCCACACTTGAATCCACTCACCAGTGTTTGCCTTCTGTGGCCACTCCATTTTCATTCTCCCCAAACCCCCAGAACTCAGCCGCCTTTAGGGTTGCTGGTGAACAGTGCCTACTGTGGCCCTAGATGACCTGGGATGGTTGTGGAACATTCCCTAGAACCTTGGTCTATGGTCTGCAGAGAGATGTGAGTTTGGCTTACTATTTTCTTTTTTTTAGATGTTCAAGGAAAAGACATCCCCGCCCCACCCCTAAGCTGCCAAGTTCACATCTCAAACTCATGAACTTGGGATGTAGAGATACAAGGGATAGCAAATACAAGTATTTGCTATCTTAGTTCCCACGGTTATAATATGTAAGAAAACAAATGTCATCACAACACGAAAATATCCACCAGGAATCTGTCCATCTGGAAAAATGATGCTCACTCACACACTCTTCTCTAGCTTAGTAAGCCTGTGTCTGGCTTGGATTAGTATGGACCAGATACAAGAGCATAGCACAAGTTCAGTGCAAACCAACGGTAAAATTCAAGTCAAAGAAAACAGTGGTGGTGGTGACCTTCATAAGCAAGGCCTGTAATCTAGGAGGATCAGATGGAGCTGGGCAAGTGACCAGATAAAGAAAAAATGAGCATGATGGGTAAGATAGGTTCTTCAGAAGGGAATGGCTTCAATGTCTTGGGGAAATGTGTGGCCTTACATTTCAAGCATTCTTTTGAAGGAGTTGCTATAAAATAAAATAAAATAAAATAAAATAAAATAAAATAAAATGTGAAGAATGTGGTGAACATATTGTTTGATTAATAGAAAAAAATAAACAGATCCTGGGTATATGGCCCAATCAGAAAGTCCCTACCATACAAGCATGAAAATTTGAGTTTGGATCTCTAGCACCCACGTTTAAAAAAAAGAAAGAAAGAAAAAAAAAGGACAGGGGTAGCATGGGAAACAGATAGGAAGACCCCCTAGGGTTTCCAGGTCCAGGGAGAGACCCTGCCTCAAAAAATAGAGAATAATATAAGACACTCAAGCATCAGCCTTTGGCTTCCATGTACATGAAAACACATGAATACATTACATATACAAAAATAAAATAAAACAAATAATATACATATCAACACCAAAAACACTTGATTCTTTGTTCAATTTGAATATAAACTTATAACTGATACTTTATGATTAAATATAGCTAAAAATAGCTCTTCTTAACTTCATTTGCGAAAAAAAAAACTTCAGTGATACCTTCTTTGCTATTGACATTGCTTTTATTATGTCTGAGTTTTTGTTTTGTTTTGTTTTTTGAGATAGGGTCTCAGTCTATAGCCTAAGCTAGTCTAGAACTCATAGTGACCTGCTACCTCAGTTTCCTGGAGGCTGGGACAACAGGCATAAGCCACCATGCCTGCCTCAATGAAAACGCTCTTAATAAACATTTTAAAAATCATTTTCTATTCTATTATCAACTTTTACTGAAACCCTTTCCTATCCTTTACTATGAACTTTTGATATTCATTTGAAGCAGATTATTTCAAAGTGGCCTTTGGCTATGTTTGCTACCCTTTCTCTTCTACATCTTTCTCAAGCGTAGAAGGGAACATTCTGGGCCCAGGTGGTTTGAAATCTCATGAAGCCTTTGTCATACACTGTCTAGATGGTGCTACACTCAAGACTCTCAGGCCCCTGGCCACTTAAGTGAACTCAGGGTAGCGTGCTCTCCAGAGTGAAAGCCATATACCTTCCCCAGCACCCACTGCAGCCTGCTCTGTTGTCGGAGCACTCTGTGGCCAGCTTGAAAGTGGTGGCCTCAGCCCAGCATGCTTAGCTTGGCCCCCATCCAGGCTAACCATGGGCAGGAAGGGGCACTTACTTGGGTCTGGGCTTCGTGTGGCTCTCCAGGGGGCTCCTCATCCTCAGGAATGTGGGGCATGGCAGCCTCCTGGCTGGAGTGCTGTGTGTGCCTGGAACCTCTGCTGTGTCAACCCCAAAGACGCTCCAAGAGGCTTGGGCTCCGCAGGCTGGGGAGATGCCAAAGGACAAGTCAAAATCCTTCCCATTCTGTCCCAAGCTAGGTTCCATTTCCAGGATCCAAGAGCCACAGATTTGCTGCTTGGTTTTACATCAACACCAGAGGTCAGGCAAGGCAAGGCTTGGAGCAGGCATTGGGAGCTGCATTGCCTCCTGCTCTCTGGCTTTGTTTACACAGGCAGGAGTGACCTTTTGCATCTAATTTGGTCCTTACAGTAAAAACATCTATTCCAGAAGAGAAACATTTCATCTCCTCAAAGAAGGATACGTCATTGAGATCAGATACCATCTGTATGCCATCTACTGAGCTCCTGCCGGCTGCATGACTACCATTATCAAATTGACTCCATTCTATAGGTGAGAGAAGAGCCTCTCAGAGTGGAAGCCACTTGTCCTGAGTCACACAGAACACCAAGTGCTTGCACCCAGGTCTTCTTGATTGGTGCCCATGACTCTTCCCATTACACCCCACATCCTCTCCTGTGGTCTGCCTCCTCCCCATAGGCAGAACAAAAGACAATGCCATTAACCAAGTAACACTGTGTCACTCTCTAGATGAGTAGCTGCTGACTGCTAGAGCCTATAGGAAGAGCCAGAAAGCTCTGCTGCTTCCCATGACAAAAGATATCTTTCCTGTCCTACATAGAAGGCCTGGAAAGTTCCCTAAATCAGAGCACTGCAAACCAGGCTGATACCTGGCATTAACCATAGTACACACCACCCTCTGGGCCCGGCTCTCCAAGGCAGGAAAGGTGTCTGGTTCATTATGAATATTCAAAAGATCCATCAAAAATGGTGGTTAAAAGAAGTTGAACCACATTAGTATTTAAAGAATTGGAGACATTTAGTACAGGAGCTGTCAAAGGGGGAACTGTCTTAGCTTTTGTCTTTTACCCCAATAGGTAGCCCACTCAGCATTGAAGCATTTGGGGCGACCCCTGCTGGTCACCTTGGAAATCTCATCTCAACTAGGCCATTCATTCATGTTGTGGAATATTCCTTTACACTGTGTGAAAATGTGTCACTGTGATTGGTTTAATAAAAAGATAAATAGACAATAGCTAGACAGGAAGCATAAGTGGGGACTTCTGGACAGAGCGAGTGAAGTCGCCAGCCAGATGCAGAAGAAACAGGATGGGCAGAAAGGAGATGAGGTAATGAGTGTGTGGAAGAACATAGTTTAAAAAATATGGGTTAATTTAAATTATAAAAGCTAGTTAGAAATAAGCCTAAGCTAAGGCCAAGTTTCCATAATTAATAATAAGCCTCTGTGTCATTTTTTGTGAGCTGGCAGCCCAAAAAGAAAAGTCCATCTACAGATGCACTGAATTTTTTTTTTTTTTAATGGTTTAAGACAGCCCAGACTGGGTTGGTTTTGAACTCATTACATAGCTGAGGCTGACTGATTCTCTTTTCTCCACATCACAAATGCTAGGATTCCAGGCATGTGCCACTATGTCTGGATGAAGCATTCATTCTTTCTTCACAAACAAACTTTTTATATTAGGCCAATGACCTGTGTTGCGACACAAAGAAAAAGGAGTATAGTTTTGGCCCTCAGGGGTCTTGAGTCCAGTGTTGGTAGGCAACTGAAAACTGTGATTGTCATCAACACTTCAGAATGAAGAATTATAAGGAAGAGTCCCTAACTATGCAGACTGGGAATGGAACTTGTTTAGTGATGGCTCTGTGTCACAAGGGCTGTTTGGGCTGAGCCATAACACAGAAGTGCAAATGAAACTTATCTATTTGCAGAATAGCCTGGGGCTGAGCAGGGTAGACAAGCTGACAGGGAAGAAGCCACGCTGGGCTGGGCTCCAAACAGTTTTGTTTTGATTTTAGAGACTAAAAACTATGGGTCCAGGACCACTGCATCTTCCATCCTCAGAGACGACTGGATGAAGAAATTAAACATTGGGTTCCCCCAAAAAAGTGAGCTCTCTGAATATATTTATCATCTATACTTAGACACCAGTATTGGCAGCAATGGTGTCAGTAGTGCTGAGGGGATTGCGTTGTAATGGGGGTAGTTGAGGGTAACAAGTTGGCTCACTTCTCAGGGAACGTCATGGTCTCACCCTTGCAAGTCCAACCTATCTCAATAGGAACAGCTTTCAAAGTATGAGGGACAGTAATTCCACTTTCCATTTGTGTCTTAATCTACACAAAACATATTGTGTACTGTAAAACAAGGATTTAGACAAACAGAAGAGAGACAAGAATTTGTGTTTAAGAACTCAAGACTTCAGCCTGGTCCAGAGAAGCTGCAAGGGAAAGTAATCTCTTCTCAGATATCTAAAAGGTAGTCATGTGGTCCTGGGGTTTCCAAAAGGACAGGTGTTGAGGCCAAGGACTCAACAGCCAAGTGAGAAGGCAGGGGAACTTTTTCTAGAATTTGGAGCCAGCTAAAGATGGAGGAGAATGCTCACCAAGGTCAAGAGTTTCCTGTTCCTGGGGGACTTTCAATACTGGCTGGCTCAAGGGTCATGGGAATTCCAAGCACGGCAGTGGCCTTTTCCCAACTCAAGAAGTCCCAGACTCTATCTAGTCACAACCAGCCACAAGGATGCTCTCAGCCCAGGGTTCATTCAGAGATCCTAGGATTATAAAGCCATTCTAGAAATATCCCATTTCTAACCCTCCACAGTCCTCTCTTGGAGACAGACCTCTGCCAGCCCCCAGCCAGAAGCAAAACTTCATGAACAAGGTCAGACAGACTTGGAGATGCTGGCTGTGGCAGGATGGAGCCTGGCTGCAGTTCCATGGCTGAACAAGATGGAGTCTGTGCAGCTCCAGAGGAACCCTGTGGCCCTGCTGAAGTCCGTTCCCATGATGCTCAGGCCCCATGTGCTTTCCCACCCATTATTATAAACTCAATGCTTAAAATAGCAAGGTAAAAACCAGTCCAGCCAGAAGGGTGACATCTGGGGGGTCTGCGGGGGCTCACGGGCATGTAGGCCTCACATCCATCAGGGCACAGTTTGGAATACAGCCTCCAGGAAGCCATGGTCTGAGTGCCAGCCCATAAAAGGAGAGAACACTGAGTCATGTTTGTCTCCCGCCTCCTTTTCAATCCACTTCCAAATATTTCCTGATGCTTCTCCAGCCAGGTCAGGTTAAGTGAGGCATGCCAAGAACCAATCAGCTCTTTGGACTCTTACCAACAATTAAACAGAACCTGACCCATTTCACAGGAAAGAAGACTGAGGCATGGAGAGGAGAAACAAACCAGACAGGGTTCAGTTACCTTTGTTCCTAAGGCAAACTACCCAAGAACCTCTGCTGGGATAACCACCCAACCATTTGTGTAAGTGAAGGGGCTAGATATCCATCCCCAAACCATCCTAAGAGAGTTGACCTACTTCATGAAATAAAAGCAGTTTCCCTACGGGGTATCCCACACTACTGTGTATGGTCAAGTGCTATCTTCATGCTTAACCCCAATGAGAGAGGGCATGTGTTTATTTAGTTTGGTTTTTTGTTTGTTTGTTTGTTTGTTTGTTTTTTATTTTTGTTTTTGTGCAGTACTGGGAATTGAAACCAGGGCCTTGAGCATGCTAAGCAAGTGTTCTGCCACTGAGCTACCCCCAGCCCTCTGCTGTAAGTTTTATTACTTTCGTTTAATGTAATAAAGCACTGAGGCTCAGAGGTGATCAGCAAGGCCATGTAGCTGGTAAGGCTGAGTCCAAAGGGTATCATCTTCTCTCTTACCCAGGGCACAGCCAAAAAGCCTTGTGCAAGCCCCTCTCCAGCAAGAAGAATGAGGTATAAACTCCCAGAGGCATGGAGAGGAGGGAACACTGAATCGTTGGTTATCAGGCCAACTGTCTTTTGAGGGTAAAGGAAGAAGCGCAGCTTAGGGAGATGACTCAGTAGGTAAAGTGCTTGCCACACAAGCATGAGGACATGAGTTCAAATCTCCAGAAGCCACATAAAACTGAACATGACAGCAGGCATCTGTAATCCCATTGCTCATAAGGAAAAATAGCAGGAGAAGACAGGAAAATTCAAGAAGCTGGTAGGCCACATGACCTCCTGAATGTAGCACAAGCAAGATATCCTGCTGCAAATAAGGTGGAAGACTAAACTGACATCCAAGGTTGTCCTCTGACCTCCAAACATGAGCTGTGACATATGTGTACTGCCCAGAGAAGGCCTACAGCTTGAGGGTTCGTGCTCCTAATATGTGGTGTGGCAACATGTTCGTTCATGGTGGTGGTGGTGGGGGGTGTGCAGCAGCCCATTCATTGGCCTTATTTCTTACTTGTCCAGGCACACAACTGTGCAGAGACTTGTTCATTGAATGGTTCGTGCCAAGAAGCCTCACACTTGGGCCAAAAGCATAGGCTGGGTCCCATAAAAGCTACCTTAGAATCCTGTGGGCTATCAGGAGCAGACAGGAGGACAGGAAGGCAGGAGGGCTCTGGCAATAGAGGACACATACCTTTATTCTATTCCCAGCAGCCATCAGGAGCTTCCTGTGCTCATTGTCCTGGGGAACTTAAGTATCTAGGGTAGACAAAGGGAACTTGGTAGGTCCCAATGGCTTACCGTGCCTCAACAAGTACCAGGCTGTCTTCATGACTCAGGGAGAAGACATGAATAGTCTTTACAGAAATACTCTCAGTGCTCTCAGCCTCCCCGAGAGGTGGTATTGGAAGCTCTAACACTGGTAACACAATTGGTCCCATTTGGCAGATGACAGAGGTCTGAAGGAATTGCAATGGCAGGCATGTCCAGTATATCTGCCTGACTGTGTAGGTCCCTTTGGGGACAAGCCTTCTGGCCTCTCTCAGAGCCTTGTGACATGCCCAGAAAAGATCAAACCCCTCACTTGAAGCCACAGTGTCCCATGAGCATGGCCTGCATGCTGTGTGGCTCTCACTGGCTCTGCTAATCTAGCCTTCAGGGAAAGAACCAAGAAGCCCTTGTGGAAAGCAAGGGGTTAAGCCAGCCTCATGGACCTCACTGGGGTGACTCAGTCTTCTCA